GTGGTCCTTGGGTGCTAGTGGCGTCTGTGCGTTGGGGAACGAGGTTGTGAGTGTGGCGAGAGACATACCTGGTGCTGGAAGCGTGCGACACTGGTCGCCATATGCTCATACTTCGGGAAAGTTGTTGACGTCATCTTTCGGCATCGTAGTATAGGCTAGTTAGGATCTGCCACATGTAGTCTGGGTGCCGAGCGCCAGATAGGATATCAACTCTGGTTCTTCGTTCATGCTGATGGGACTATTTCAGCATTGTCAATTATGGACTCTTGGTGTGTTCTTATTTGGTGAATCTCGTGATGCAATTCTGTTGTTGGTTTGAGGACACGACTATCTGGACTCATATGTATGATGTTGTTTGATTGCTGAAGTTCGCTATTGCTCATCTTCGTTGCACAGCCCTTGTCCAACAAATCATCGAGTTGTGCTCGGAGGACCGTAAGCTCCTCCTCGCTCATGCGATAAATGCAACGTTTGGTCGGCACGGCACCGGCCTCAAGAATGATCTCGTGAGAGATCGGCCGATCCGGCACCACACCGGTAGGTGACTCGAAGATGTCGGCGAACTCGTCAAGCAACCGCACCACATGGGGGTCCGAAGACAAGTCTGTGGGTGAAGAGTCGGCTACCGCGACAGTCCGTAGGAAACATAGGCCGATTTCGTCGGGCTGCTCGGCATAAGTAGCCCGGAATGATTTGGCCGTCACCACTTGGCACCGAATCGAAGGGTGCGGAAGAGGAATAGTACACGACACTTCGGTGCCGAAGGCGTTGCGAACGGTAAGAGTCCACAGGTGGAAGTTTACCGTGTGATCCGCACTTGCAAGCCAAGACATTCCCAAAATAATGTCCAAGTCTGTGTCCAAAATGTCAAATGTCACCGGTTGGCATACATGAGGTGCGATATACACCGGTTCGACCTCGATGTAGCGGTCAATAAGTTGCTGCGTCCTTCCGTCCGCCAACTTGATCGCCGTTGGGTTTGCCTTCCTTCGAACTTGTGCGCCAAGGCCAGCCCTTTACATAAAGGCTTGGCTCATAAAATTGCTGATTGCGAAACTCGCGGGCCACCTTGGTAACATACGCAAGGATGTCCCCCACCACGACTTCATAATCCGTCGGTGAAGTTGGTGGTGCATAGAAGGATAAGTATATGTGAAGATGAGCGCATAGTGTTGCGCATTGCGGTCCCGGCAAGCAGCCCGTGGTCGGGAGAGGAAGCCATGCGAAATCCCCGGACGTGAGCGGGTCCAATACCTCTACGTTGAACTCGCGTGCCGAATCCCGTGAAGAACCACTTGAAGATGATAAGTCACCGCGGTCGGACGGAGAAGATGCTGCACACACTTCTTGTCCTTGAGCTTGAGTACCCAGCGTAGGAACGACCGGAGCAGCATAGTCCTCAAAAGAATAAAGAAAAGGAGGACTATCGACTTCCGCATGTGCCTCGGAACGAAGGGCGGTCACCCGCGAAGAGTGTCGCCGAGTCACTCCCGGCGGTGCTCAGTTTCCCGATTTGCCCTTGCCTTTCGACTGGCAGGCCATTGTGTCGTGTCAACACAGACAATAGCGGAATCTCGTGCGTGCCTTGAATGCTGATTCGAAGATATCGTAATAGGACCATGGGGCTTGAGCTGCTCCGCCGGGCCCGGGGCTAGATGCGGTGTTTGTCTTCCCCTTGCCACATCCTCGGCCTTTGCCGGGGCGGCCACCTTCCCGGGCGGCTGCGAGTCTGTCCCCTTCATTGGCAGACATGGCCTCGCTAGTTTGGTCGCTTGGCGTTGCCGCCGCGACCACGACCACTTTCGGCCGATGCTGATCTCTGCCCAGGCCTGGCGCAAACGAACACAGGAGATTCTTGGCCTCCTTGTTCGTGACAATAATCTGCGCGGCCTTGTCAAAAAGTTATGTTGGTGTCATCAGGGTGTCCTCGACATGAGTCAAGGCATTGCCCAACGCCGGACACGACCTCGAGATGAAGTAGTGTTTGATGGCGACTCTGAAGCCCATTTGGATGTGTGGGACGCATGTCAAGCGTTGGTACTCGGCAATCCAGTTAACACTCGGCAGCGTGCCTTGTTCGAAGACCATCAGCTTGTCCATTGCCTTGATCTCCGGCGACTCTACTTGGAACTGCTTATGCCACGCCGCCTTCAGATCATCCCAGTTGATCTTGGTATGCAAGTCGGCAGCTACCACTCCGTACTTGGACAAGAGATTGTCCAACCATGCTTGGCATGCCCCCCCAGACTAACAGTACAAGTACCCGTGGTGCTTTTGTTCTTTGACGTAGTGTAGCTGCGGTGTGAGCTCGAACTTGCGGAACCATGAAATCGGATTTGTCTTCGTCAAGTCGCAAAAGATCTCCTGCCCGTCGAACTTTGGAGTTGTCTCGCGCGGTTTCGAGCTCGAGTGGTTGGCGGCAGTACAAATCCGTTGCTCCAACTATTGTGTTGCGGTTTGCTGTAATTGCACGTCGTCCTTGAGGGAGCCGACGTCAATCTCCAATGCTTCGAGGCGGTCGGAGGTGTTGGAAGAGCTGGCATCGGGGGCGGCGACAAGTCGTTGTTCTAGCTGCCGGAGGCGGCCGTGGACTTGAGTCAGCGCGTCGTCGAGGTTGTGGATGTCCTCCTGCTGTATAATGCATGTTGCCAGGAGGTCCGTGAGATCCGCGAGGAGAAGAGCGATCTTGTTTTCACTTTCTTCCATCTTGCCATTATCGGCCTCGGATGGCCAATTCGCTGCCATTATGAGCGAAGCTTTCTCTCCACTGAATATCCTCTCACGACGTTGGACTCGTCCTTCATTGGCAGCCTTTGCTGCTGCCTCGTCGTGCTGGCGCTGCTGTTTAATTGCCAGCAAACGTGCCTTCTCGGCGTCCTCGGCCTTTTTTCTTTTTGCGGCTGCTACTGCATCTGACCGTTGCTTAGCTTCGGTAATCAAAAGCAGCATCTGGGCCTGATAGGCCTCGTCCGTTTCCCCGAACTTCTGGTCCATGACGGCTGTTTGCGAGTGCATGAGCATAGACTAGGCTGGGGGCCTGCTGACGTGGTGCTCCCTGCTGCTGACGTGGCACTGTTGTCGGCTGATGTGGCCTGTTAACGTGTCCTGCTGACGTTGTCGAGCGCAATCGGTCCGGCACTACCCAAGGGCAGCGCGGGACCCTCCCGGCCGCGTCACGCAGGAGTTGGTTTTTTATCCTCATCGCTAATACACATCGAGCTCTTCCGCAGGCCGCTCCGGCCGATTGCGCCAGCCATACCTCTCGCGAGCCCCTACGACAGGGTAGGGCCTACGCGAGGCACGACTTACCTCCACCTTACGAGAGTTGTCACCTCCCTTCGGTGGGCATATCCCCGTCGAGCTACCAGTCCACAGTACGAAAGCTGATCAGCTGCAATCGCACTGGTGGACCAGCCGAGGGCGTTTCTCGTTCGTTGTAGCATAGGGGGTACGCGCGGTAATACGCCTCTATCGGACCCGCACGCGTACCGGCATCTTGGGGGGGCTGAGGTCCCAAGCGCGGATCGTCGCCGGTCGACTAGGACGCATCCCACACACCACGCGCACACCGCTGCAAAGAACTTAAAAATAAAACACACTCATACACGCACATACACGAAACGACACAAAACAAACAACGCGACAACGCTTTACATTGATAGGATGGTTGACTACAGTAGAGCGTGAGTGGGCGCGCAGTCTTAAGGCGCGCGCGTGATTCCTCCGTTTGATTAAGTAGCCGACTTAGTTGGCCGGCCTAATTTTTTTGTTATTAGGAATAAATAAAAGGTTTGTTTTTATTCAGGACGGTTGACCACTGGTAGGCCTGACGTATGAGGTGGGGGCGCAAGGCGGCCATAGCGCAAAGAGGGCAAGCCAGCGCAGGTGCCTAGCGACAGCTTGCTTAGTTGGAGGTAGGAATGAGGGCCGGGCTGTTTTCCTACGCCTAGGGACTGCGCAACACCCTTTTTTAGAAGGTACCGCATGCGCTGGTTCCAGGCTTGGGCTTAGCCCTCTAGGTTACGGTACTGGGCTTACACGGCGGAGGTACGAGGATCGAGGCCAGCCGGCGGCAGCATGGGAGCGGCGGAGCATGGAATGAACTGAGGGGTTGAGGGTCCCGCGAGGCTATCCCCCTTAGTTTTTGTCGCGGGCCCGTTTGTTTCAAACCCTTTTTGTTTGGTTTCTAGTTTTATTTTGCTTCTATTTTTGGGCAGGTATTTGCTCCGAGCCCAGGCCAAGGGTCTATGGTTGTGACCGTGGTGGGTAAATACTGCGATCAGGCAATGCAAAAAAAAAGGGGGGTCCTGGTTACGGCCCACCTGAAAGAAGCCTAGAGAGATGTCGCGGAGGCCTCACCTTCTACTAATCTGATATGCCCTTGTCGCTTTCTTCTTATTATTTTTGTTTTTGCTTATGGCCTTTATTTCCGAATGTTTAAGCCTGCGAATTGTGACGTAGGCCTAGCTGTTACCATTCTCCGGTCACATCAGTCCGAAGGGCCAAGGTTTAGCAGATACAGTAATGAAGGGTCGGACCAATGACTCTCCGGAGGCGACCTGTCGGAGACCGCTCTCTGTAGGCACAGACGACTGGGCGAGTGGCAACTCCATTTGTGTTGAACCAACGATGCCCGGTTTTGATCGGCCTGTGCGGAGTCACCATTACCCAGCCCGTTCTTTTCAAAGCCCAGTCAGCGGGAGCTAAGTGGAACTGTAGAAGCTCCGGACCCGGTAGGAAGTGGGCAGGTCGGTGCCAAATAGTAGTATAAATCAAGGAGCTGCATCGGGCTGGTCATTCGTTCCTGCGCAAGCTATGCGAAAGCGCTACCACGGCACAGTGTGTGACAGATGTTTGCTGAGCTCGGAGTGGCAGTGTTGGGCTGAAACTGGACGAGCACTAAGACGCTACGGGGAGACAAGGTGGAGAAATGGCGGGCGCCATCATTAGGAGGTGAGCACAGAGTGGGGGACTTCGAAGGCCGGAGCAGGGGCCGAGTGGAGAGATACAAGTGAACCTGGACGGAAGGCGGTGCCGGGTGCAGGCGGAGTATTGGTGGTGAGAACAGCTACGGGGAGGAAGCAAAAGCCATAGCCCGGCCGTTCCTCGGTAGGATCAGGCAGGGAAGGGCTTGATACAGGGGTTTTTGGCCATCGCGAGTGCGATGGCAGGGTTAGTTTTCGGGTTGATGTAGCGGTTAGTTTGGCATGAGCGCTGGGAGCTGCGCGACCGGCTATGGTGGAGATGGAAGAAAGTTAACTCTCACTCATATGGAGTGTGATTTCGGCGGGGGAGGGGTCTGAGTTGAGGTTTTAAATGGAGGCGAGTTCGAAGGTACAGTCAGATTGAGCAAGAGATGGGTGAGTGGGGAGTTAGGAAGAAGAAGTGGTGCGTGGAGGTGGCGGAACGACCAAGCGAGGAGATGGAAATCCCGCCTGATTCGTGAGTGGACTAAGGGCAACAAGGGGGGTGTAAGAGAGGGTGAGGTAAGACACTCACCCTGTAGAAGAGAAGAGGTGGGGTCGTGAAGCTCTCACCCGCCGAAGGTACCGTACCGCCTGGTGACTGGGTTTGCCAGAAGAACCTTCCCACACCCGGGTGGAAGATTCATTGCGATTTTGCCCAGCCTATCGATGGCCGAAGTAGCGAGGAAGAGGGCAACAGATTGAGGATCTGCTTGCAGACAGGTACTACTTACCTCGTCGAACGAAGCACCGGCGGACGAACTACAAGACTGCTAAGTTAATTGTTAACCGGTGGGCTACTCGTCCTACTGGCTGAAGTAGCGTGAGTCCTGCAACAGCAGGATGGGTACCTACCAAGTTTGGGTGAGAACTGCACGGTCAGTATCTACGAGCACTCTACCCAATGACATGGCTGGCTAGGCCTCACCGGTGCTCCAACCACGGCACTCGAGTGGCATTCAGGAGGTTTCCGACTCAATCTCCATTGGCATAGTTCGTATGGGTAAGCTTGCTGTCCGCTCTAGGGGCCGTACCCAGTAGGACTTTCGAGCCTCGGTCGACCCCACTGCGGGTCCCATTTGGCTCGACCCGCCCACGCTCACACTCAGGGCGCGGGTCGTTCGTCCCCGGGGCACCCCCACCTAGTGCTATGAAATGGATGGGGATGGGCCTTTTTGCGAGAGGGCTTTACATTGGGGGATGTAGCCCCGCTCTCGCGTCAAGATGGTAGCTCTTTGGGCACTCGTGGCGTTTTCTCGATTCGGTTAAGTCTGACCAAGCAATTGCTCCTTCCAATACACAAGCAGTCCAGGGAGTTCATTGAGAGTTTTGTCTTCTTGCCGTGCGCAGGCCAAGCGTCATCCATTTGGCCACGCACCTTTTTACTAAGTCTAGTGGCTCAGGGCAGCCCTGTCGGCATCCTTGGGGGGGCGGCGGCGTCGCCCAAACCCCTAGCCGCTATTTTTTTGCGAGAGCCACTAGCATCCCATCCATCTATCCAAGACCGCCCTTAGTCTTTCCAGGCGCCGTATTGCACAGGAGAGGGTCATCCCAGTCAACCACCATGCAACCCATACCGCATCATCCGCCATTCATCCAAGCACCCAATCCTCAATCCCTTCCCGCATTCATAGTTAGGCTAAGTCTAAGCTCTTCCCTTATCCCGTTCCTCCATCCTTGCCCGTGTTTCTCGTGGATCCAGTCCCTCTCAACCCATCCCGGACACTCACCTGCACAAGACCACGCAAGCCAAGACCAAATGCAATCCCCATTGGGGTCAACACATCGCCTCTCCCCACATGCCTAAGTTTCCCTTGCCTTGTGGTTACTTGGTTTGTCTTTCCTCTTCCCTCAAGCAAAACCATGCCCTCATCTTAGTCATGCGGTCGGGGAAGATGGTTGAGTCAAACTGACCTCGTGCAAAATCAGCACTCCTCTTTGCTTTCGCAAATGCTCCCAATAGTTCCGTATCCTTTCCTTCTTGGTGGCACAAGGGACCGACATCCCTTCCCTTGCCCTCGCTTTCCACCAAGTGAGGACTAAGTTCCTTTCCGTTCGTTCCCTGGCAATGTAACAGGTGAGGGTGGAGGTTAGTCACATGCCCATGGAGGGAAAGGGGTGACGGAAGGGTTAGGGTTTTAAAGAGTTTTGAAAGAATGGGGGGAGACGGAGGGAGAGGGAGAGAGAGAGAGAGAGAGAGAGAGAGAGAGAGAGAGAGAGAGAGAGAGAGAGAGAGAGAGAGAGAGAGA